CAAGTGTGGTAAAGCTAAGTGTCGTAGAGTCAAGTGTGGTAAAGTCAAGTGTACTTGACCCCATGTATTCTCTATGTATTTTCTCTGCGGGGCTCCGCACGGAAGAACCCTTCGCGATGCTTTCGGGAAAACAGACGCGTTCGAGCGTCTGCTGTTGAGATGCTACGAGCCACGGTTGCTCCTTGTTTTCGCTTTGGGCCAGGAGGTCCTTGCCCAGGCAAATAAGCGACGCAGACATTGAGGCATGCTGAACACAGATCCAGCGAGCCGTTCGCCCAGGTCCTTCATGTCCGGAGAGGAGTCCAGAGCGAACCTGAGATGGAAACGTTTTCCTCAGAGCCCGCTACAGTCGCTAAAGAGAAATCCGAATCAGAGCGAGTCCGACTAAAATGAAGCTCTGCTCCCCTGAGGCGAGGCTCCGTGAAACGTGAAAAAGCGCTGCAAAATCGACCCTGGCCCCAGAAGCCCAGCTGCATTGCAAAGTTATGGCGGCCGCGTCGAACAAGGCTTGTAAGGCCTCGGGCATGGGAGCTTTGCAAGAGATGGAGCAACTTGAATTCAAGCAAACGGGGCATCAGCCGAAACCGAGGCAGTCGTCGAAAATCGAGAGCTGGGTTTCGTCGTAGCAGCCTGCAAGACCTGCTGGACAGATGAGATTCCACCCTCTCCCTGTTGAACCAAAAGCCCAGACCCTCTTAGCGCCCTGGCCTACCGTGCAGTGAACCACCACGGAGTCGCCGGTAGCGTTGAGGAATGGCCGTTCCAGCGACGCGAGTCGGGTGAGGAGTTGTCCCTGGCGCCCCGCGGCCCAAAGTCGAGCGGCACTGTCTAATGAGACCGGTTTTAGTGGAAACGACGCCCAGAACTTACTCTTTGCCTCGTAGGATAGGCTGAACTTTGCAGAGGGTCCAAATGCCGCTGAGGTCAAGTCATAGATGTCCTGCACTTCGTGGAGCATCTGCTTGAGTGGCCTAGAGAGTTTAGGCATGTGGACCGTGGGCGGAACCCGGAGATTACAAAATAAAGAAGCATTCTAATGACATCGCATCATTGAGAAGTGAGTCATGGGCCGTGCTGCCGTGTGCTGCCGTGCTTCCGCTAAGCCCGTCCTCTGTACAGATGCACACTGGGAGCCGAAGCTCACACAGCGATTTCCCGCTAATGGTGACCACACTCACAGTGATGAGAGGAGCGTCCTTGCTTCCCGCAACTCGCAGTCAACACCTCTGCAGCTTTCTATCTTTTAGTGCGATACACTCCGCAGAGACCTTGCTAGGTGCAAACAGCCCTGATGAGCAAGGATTTCCTCCAAGAGAGTGGCCATCCGCAGGGCAACGGGCGGACGTGATGTTTAGTTGACTGCGGCCTATTTTTGCGACATTCGTGGTACAAGTGCATGGATATGGTTCAACATGGTTCACTTGCATGCCTGCATCAAAGCGTCAGTAGAGCCGAGCGGAGACAACTGAGCAATTCCTAGACTGTGATCATACACATTTGCTTGCAGCTGACCCCATGCGTCGTTGACTTTTGAAGTGCTCATCCTTACGTGCACCACACACACGCTGGTTCAAGCTACACTGCTACCGACAGGAACCTCCATACACCAGCCACAGCTTTGGCAATGCTTGACCTCAGTGCTCTTATCACAGCATGACATACATAGATGCCTGTCATCCTGTCCTCCAAACACATCGGCTCAAAAACAGCAAGGAACCGAACTGAAATAACATGCAGACACACAGCACCCCTGGTGCGTGGTAGGTGCGCGTGCACGATTGCAGCCAAGATACGCGTGTATGTGACACATGAGTACCACAGTCGTCGCACTGCCGAGACCTCGAGCAGCGAAGACCGAAATCAGCACGGAGATCACGGAACGGAGGAACCACGAAGCCTCTTGACATCTCCGTTTTGCGACAGCTGCATTACAGCTGTTGTAAACTGCGAGAGCCGAAGGACCCAGCTAAGAACCCAGCTCGCTGCCTGAGTAACTGTCCGGCATGCCTGGCAGAGCCTTGGGTTTTCGAAGAGTCTCGACGCGAGTCCATGCGGGATGCGCAGCGGGAGCCTCAACGTAGCGGCAATCCACGTTGAGAATCCAACCTTGGCCGCCCCCACAAAGCCCCAGGCCACGGCGCATCCCTCAGAAGTAACCTTGCACAGCCCTGGCTTGCAGTCAAGAGTACCATACAGCGACAAATCGGCAACGAAGACGAACCAGAAAATGGCAACCTGGCTGTAGTGCATGAGTATTGGGAGTGATGAAGGCCGGATTACCACCAGCCGTTGTTCGATGAATTTCGCGACAGTTTGACGGTTGCTGCAGGCTTCGTGCAGACGGCTCATGAAGCAGCTTGAAGGAGCGAACCCCAAATACAGCTAGACGCGATCATAATGCACGGAGGCAGACTCTGCATGAGTCAGGAGCAAGACATTGAACAGCTCGCTGCAGCCATGCATGCCTCCCTGTCCTCGCGTCTCCTCGAAGAACCGTAAACATTTTTTGCAGCTGCAGGTGTCGCCCAAGTTCGAGGACAATGCGTAAACACCATCGGGCCTGCAGAAACGAGCTACTGCCGCCACTGGGCTTTTCGCCAAAACACATGTGGTGCTTCTCATCAGCCGTCGTAAGAGTTACGCTTGACATATACAGGGCAATCGCGCCAATATCAAATTGAGCTGAAAATACCAAGAACAATCTGGAAAAGGTTTCCAGCAACTTGGCACAGCCATCAGCTAGTCTCTGCAACGCTCTATACTTGACATCAAGTAGATCTGTCAGCATTGAAACCTGCATGAGGACTGCGTATTGACTTGTGAGCGTCCCTATACTCTATACATTTCGATAAGTCAATCGCCCGGGGGTGCCTCGGGATCTACCAACTCTGCTTTTGATCACAGGCGAGGGAAAAAGGTGCCAGGAGAAAAGAGCAATTGATTTAGGGATCCTAGTAAAAGAACTAGATCGTGACAGGACACTGCATCACATTATGATTATTATGCGGCACCGTGCCATGTCGCCACGCTTTATGCCTGAGAGACGAAATTCAAATGCCGCCACTGCAAGCCGACGGACCAAGCCCAAAACGATAACTGTCCAAAAGTACACAGAAACCAACACCGCGGACACGAAAGATTCAGATAACTCCAAACCCCAAGAGCCCGGATCTCTCTGCTTTTTCGAGTACTGCATGCATCCTCGGGGCTTGAGGTGTCCAATACCGGTAGCCTGGAAAATTCCGCTACAGGCTTTGGGCTTCGGGTTTATTATGGGTTTAGGGTTTTTGGGCTTTGGGTTGAGGCTTGAGGGTTTCCTGCTCAGCTGACGCTCAAGACAGCGGCGGCGAGCGCTATGCGTTGTTGAGCATCAATGCCACCTCAAGCAACGTCCCGAGAGCACTTGATCGAAGACGATTCTTGACATCACTATTCACTATTCCAAGGCCGGTCGACTGAAACAACAAAAACTGCTTCAAAGAACCCACAGACTCCACATGCGCTCCACACCTTTGGACTCGCATGGGAGCCACCGTGGGAAGTCCGAACTTCCCGAAACCCCTATCACAGCAACTTGCATCACCTGATACAGCCGTTCCCAGTCCCACCGAGCATGGGACCATGCGCCGGTAGGTGACCACGTCCCTCTCAAGTTTCGCTGACAACATCTTGTCCAACATAGCCAGACCACGCTCCCACTGGAGAGCTCTCCTGAGGTCTCCAAAACCCAGGAAGGCTTGGGGGCCCAGAGCTACTGCACCCCAGTACTGCCTTTTGCGTCACGAAGGGGGCTGTGGAAACAGAAGCCTCTAACTTCAAGCACGTTTCATCAAGCTGGCACAACAAAAATCACAACAACGGCTGCTGTTTCTTCTGCCACAGGTTCGCACAGGCGTCCAAGACCGTGTCGTGGGAGACTGTGCTCAATTCCAGCCCCGACTGCTGGAAACCGTCAAGGAGCCGCATCGCAGTCTGCCAGTACCTCAGACTAACCGCAATTACCAGAACAAGGCCTGAGAGCTGCTCAGCAACGGCTGCCCAAAACCCTCGCACCTCTCCAAGCCAAAAAACCTTACTAGACAACCTAAAAAATCAACCATTGCAGCTGCATCGAAATGCCGAGGAGGCACGCAGCACGTGCGCAGGCACTCAACACAATATTGCGCAGCATCACCGTCACCTTGATTCCTTCTTCCTCCATGTCGGCAAGGACGTGCCTTAGGCGTCGAATATTACACTGTGTTTCCCTCCTTGTAGAACCTATCTTCAAGCATGTTGCTGTACTGTTACGTCTATGTCTTTTTGAGGCCATAACCTCGTCTCTCAGATTTTCACCCTAAGCCACGCAAAGGCTACAACCCTCCAACGGAGGCCCCTTGCCGCTGCTTCTGCGCCATGCCACAACCCAGTCTCCCAAAGGTTGGCCCTTGCCGTTGCCTGCATCACGGCGATGTAGGAGAAGCCTCAAAGGCTGGCAGTACTGTTGCTTGTTCGGCGGTAGTTGCTGTTGCTGCTGCCGCTGTTGGTACCGTAGCTGTTCGTGTTGAGATTGGAGTCGTTGCTGCTGGCGGTGTTGCTGGAGTTGTTGTTGCGGCTGCTGCGCTGTACATTTCACGAATACTCGATGTCAAGAACCTCGTTCGGAGGCTACTTTATAACTACTGTATGTTTGATAGATGCATCGAATCCCATCTGACACTTTTGTTTTTTTGTATATACACGAATACAAGTGCGAGCACCAAGGTCCAGACAAGCAACCGCTTGCCTCGAGCATTGCATCTCGGAGTTGGCCAAGCACTTGCAGTGCTCCCTGCCACTCCCCACCGTTCGCACACGCATCGAGCAGCGTGTTAAAGGTGATCAAGTTTGTCTGTAAGCTTGTCTTTTGCATTCGTGAGAACAGCGTCACTGCTTCTTGCCACCGTAACCCCCTGCTGCAGCCCTGCATGGCACTTGTGCATACCACCGAGCTCGGCTGCAAGTGATCCATCTCAAGCTTGTTCAGCAAGGCCAATGCACTCGCACCCGACACCTCCATTACAGTAGCATAAGTGAACTCGTCCGGCTGGAGTGAGTGCTCAGGCAGGCGCTCGAACAGATCCATAGCCATCCATGGCGCCGAACCGACCCCACATGCACTCATGACTGCATTGTAGGTCACAAGACTAACCCCGCCCGGCTGATTTCGGCCATCTGCCCACAGATGCAGTGCTAGACGCCACTGACCACCCTTGCCACATGCACTGATCGCTGCATTCCGAAGAGATTCGCCGAGGACCGCTGGACCAATTTCGAAGAGCAGCTGTAGTCCCGTTTGCCAGCAAGTGTCTTCGGCACAAGCTCGAACGCATGATGCATACGCAATTTGGTCTGGCCTCGTGGTGGTCGCCCGCAAATCCGAAAACAGACTTAAAGCCCTTTGCCACTGTCCAGCTGGTTGCATGGCGCCCATAGCAATATTGAAGCTTATTGCATCCCTCTCCACTTGCACCTGATCCATCTGCCCAAAGATGTCCAGCGCAAGCGGCCAGCAACCAGCCTGGGAGCAAGCTCGTATTGCAGCTCCAAAGGTTATAGCATCCATCTTCACCTTCTTGTCACTCATCGATGCAAAGAGTAGCAGGCCCCTCTCCCACTGAGAAGCTGCAGAGCAAGCAGTTATGGCAGCATTGTGCACGCTTGCATTTGCTCCGGGCACTTGTCGATAAAGCACATGCAAAGCCCGCTCCCACTCGCCCTTCCTCAGGGACGGAGAGAACGAAAACAAAAGATGGTTCATACTGTTGGGTGGAGAACATAAACAAGAAACTTGCTGGGCCTGCCCATTGCTGCGATGGCCAGTATGAGCATGGCATCATCTCCATCTAACCTATCACTGTGCGATAAGAAAGACAATGCTGGTGGGCCAGCATTCTCGCAGGTTTTCACGAAGCTGGACCACAAGATGGGATCCGGAACCAGCCGATGATGGACCAGGCCGTCTAGCAAAAGCACTGCCTGCTGCCACTCAGCCTCCCTCTCCAAGGCACCCATCCAGGTCATGTACATTAGCAAGTCTGGCTGCCCGCCAGGGTCATGCAAGTCGGAGCCATCGCGGCCGAGAGACAAAGCTCGTTGCCACAGAAGGCTTCGGGCACATGCAGATATGGCTTTGGTTTGCACGATGACGGAGCCTCGTACTTCTGCCTCTGGCATCCGCAACACATACAGTGCACCTTGCCAGGCGGCTTGTGATGCGCATGTGCTTATGGCTTGGCCGCATGTCAAAGCAGGGCATTCCAGCCGTCTGCTCGTCAATTCTCCGACAAGCCTGGCCAGATTCCATAGGAATCAAAAGTCGTGCCGCAAAAAATTACACTGCAAATCACAAGAACACAGAACAGCAAATTTCACCCATCGGACCAAGCGTCTGAAGTGCCTCAAGCCACAGGCTACCCTGCTCAGCTGCACTCACGGCAAGTTGCAGAGTGGTGGCGTCTTCATGCAGCCGCTGTCGCAGCAGCATCCGACCCAATTCTAGGGCCTGCTCCCAGCGCTCACACTGATTGCAGGAAGCCATGGCAATGTTGTAGCCCAAGAGATCGGGGCCCACCCGCTGCTCCCACGCCATCGAGAGCAAAGCCAGAGCTTGCAACCACTCCCTCTGCCTCGCACAGGCACCTATCAAAGCGTTGTAAGTGCTGCTGTAGCTCCGGACCTGCTTCTTGGTGTTCGTGCATATCACCTGAAGAGCCTGCTCCCAGGCATCGCTTTTTGCACAGGCATATGCGGCCCGGTTGTATGCCACGGCTGCATCTCCGCCGGCACCTCTCAAGCTGATTTGGAAGGCCCATGCATGTCTCGGCGCTGCTACACTTGGCTGAAGCGCTCTTCTCAATCCTAAGTCACAGTCTGCGGCCCATGCTCTTGACCCCAGCACTCCTCGATGAAGCTTCCCAACACGAGCCGGGCCCCCTTATGTCCCCCTGTGAAATGCAAGGCAGAATCTATCCAGTTCACGCCTTCTGGGAGCCTCGACAGCAACTCCACTGCCTGTGGCCACTGACTTCCCATCTCGCACGCCTTGACATAGCAGGCGTTTCGCAAAAAAGCTTGACACTAAGATTCCACGAAGTACCTCTCGAAAGGCAAGTGCTACATGCATTATTCGATGCTGGTGCTTCGGAGCGACACTAACCACGACGCCGAGGGTGAAGGCATCCGGCTGGAGACGGCTAACCTGCAAATCCTGGAAGAGCTCCATGGCACTGTGCCAAGTACTTGCCTCCTTGCAGGCATTGATCGCAGCATTGTAAGTCACCAGGTCCGGCTGCGCAGACGCCACCACGTCAGAGAGCAAAGCAAGGGCCACCTGCCACTCTCCTGCCGTCGCACAGGCGCCCATGGCCATGTTGCAGGTTACCACGTTCAAGTGCAGCCGGCAGCTTTCGGCTTCCGACAGCAGTGCCACCGCAGGCCTCCACTGCTGTCCTCTGGCACACGCACCCACCAGCGCACCGTAGGTGACGGCATCCACATGCTTGCGCTCCGACTTCGCATTCTCGAGGAGACTGAGGGCTTGCTGCCAGAGCCCTTCAGCCTGAAGCCAACGCACCTCCGATCTGCCAAAGCTGGTAAGCATCTCCTAAAGGATCCGATCAAGCGGAGAATTCTCGAGCCAAGCTGAAGCATTATGAAGCATGCAACGGCAAAAACCACTCATAAACCTCCGCTGTCACTTCGGGTACCATCTACGGGTCGCATAATAAGACCCATCTCCACTCTCCAGTCCTAGGTCGTACCCACCTCATTTCTTCCGATTTCAGGCATGGTCCCACCCGGTCAAGCCCACTAGCAAGCCCCTGTGATGTCATGATGTAGCCGCTTCGCTCTCTTGTGCTCGAGTTGAAAGGATTCCAGCTCCGATACCCGTGCACGGAGATGTTCAATTTCTTCGTAAAGCTCCTCGCGAGTCATGGCCACCAGTCGTGCCCTCCTCTCCTTTTCATGATCTGCCAGCTCAGGTGCATACTTCGCGGTTTCAACCCTTCTCTGGTCCTCCCTCATGCTCAGCCAGGAAGCAGCGTAGCTCGGTAAAATGGTGTTCTCCATCTCCATGCATGTGAACTCGGGCGAGGCTTCCCCTGCTTCTGCATAGGTCTTGTAGCATGCACCGTAGATGAGCAGAAGTCGAAAAATCTCCAAGTTTTGGTTAGCGGCCGCTGCGTGGAGGACGGAGTGGTTGTAGTCATCCGTGTCGTTCGCATCAGCCCCGCGATTTAAGAGTGCCTGCACCACTTTCCGGCTGTTCTGCTCCACAGAACAGAATAGCAGTGACTTGTCCCTTGAAAGCATGTAGTCAACCGGCAGGCGGCCAGAATCCACCTCGCTTGCAACCCAGTCCTCTTCCTTCGCTTCGATATGTGCCAGAACTTCTAGGTGGTAGCGCGCTGGCTCAAGCCTTGGGGTCAGGAAGGCCTTTCGCCGTTCCTCGGTTTCCAGATGCATGTACTCCTCCAGTAGGGCCGCAGTGTCTGTATGAAGATAGCTTCTCGCCATGTCCAGGGCTGTCCGGCGGAACTTCTCTTCGCTGGCCTTAAGGCCTGGGTCCGCTCGGAGATCCAGCAGAAGAAGGACCAGCTGCGACTGACCCCAGTAGGCCGCGTGCATCAACGCGGATACTCCAACGCGATCTTGACTGTTCAACTCCTCCCTGCTGCACAATTTGGCCACCTCGAACGCCATGACGCTTAGCTTCTCGCAAATGCTATACGACAGCAGAGACTGGCTGTGGACATTCGGCGGAAAGGCTCGCGAGAGGCGAAAGTTTGGCGACAGGCGTCGTAGGCCGAACTGCTGCCGGATCCATGCCGAGTCATTGTCATGGAGGTGTTTCTTGACCTCATTGAAGTCCCTGTCGTTGGTGTCCATCAGCGGCAGCTCGGACATTCTTGCACCGTGTTTGTGATAAGGCACAGAAACACAGGAGCCGAAGCTGTTCAAGTCCCTAGCACTCGCAAATACTCGTACTTTGTGGATCCATCTCGACAATTCAGGCTATGGGATAGAATGCTGGAGTCAACCGCGCTGAGCTGCCAGGTGCATTCTCACATTTCAGCTGGATGCGACAAGCATCACCCTCAAGGCCCATAAGGAAGCCGACAGCAGCTGACACCTTCTAAGCCCTGAGGCGCTGACAGTAGGAGCCTTCATGTACGATAATATACCACAATATACCACAATTTGCTATCATATACTTATATATACATATATATATATATAGATAAGTTAATATACATATACCAGGTTATACAATAACGTCCTATTTCTGACAGAAACGTAATTTCGGCCGGCCGCACCAAGACCGGCCCCCAGGTATCGGCACCGCCGCTGCACCACGCCGGGACCACCAATCCCTGTAGCCGCGATCAGAGGGGAATGGAGCGATAATAATATGCTTAAGGACATGATGATCATACTAATGGTAAAAATATTGATGATAACAAAAGAAGAAACGCGATAAGAATAAATCTTCATAACAACAGTTATTCAATTTCGATAATCAGAACACAAATGCTAATCAAAAAATACTAATAAAAACACAAGACTAAGAGCGGTAATAATGATGACAGTAGACATAGTAATAGTAATAGTAATAGTAATAGTAATAGTAACAGTAATAGTAATAGTAATAGTAATAGCAATAGTCATAGTCATAGTCATAGTCATAGTCATAGTCATAGTCATAGTCATAGTCATAGTCATAGTCATAGCAATAGAAATAGAAATAGTAATAGTAATAGTACTAGTAATAGTCATAGTAATAGTAATAGTAATAGTAACAACAATAACAATAATTACCATAAGAATGACAATAATGACAATAATTGTACTAACAGCAACAATGATAACAATAACAATAACAATACTAGAGATAGTATATCTGATAGTAGTAATTATAACAATAGTGCTAATAACAACAGTAATTAGAAGGCTCCGGAAGAGATTCGCTGGTGCCGATTCCGCGTGGACTTAGCTTTGCACAGCGAAGCATCCAATGCAGTAGAAAGTGGCCTTGGACACAGTCGGCTGTTTCCCATATGGCACTGTGTCCGAACAAGGACTCACTCATGAATTCTGCCAGCATTCGAAAGACAATTCCATGAGTTTGAGGACCCCGGCCACGTGGCTAAAGACCTGAACGGTGCTCAAGGGCCTCCGGCGCAGCCTCGTTTTTGGCTCACAGCTCGACATCTCCAGTGTAGCCAGGACTGCAGCAGCTTCGCAAGTGCGTGGTGACACTAGCCAGCAGCAGCGTAGGCTTCCCTCAATACGTCTAATCGGACCTGGACAGACCGAGCGGCACAGACAGCTGGGACCTGGCGCGCTTGGAGTACGCCGGCATGGCTGGCTCAGAGGGTCAGAAACTTATGGCGGCATGGGCAGTGCCTCACACTGGTCGATAGGTCATGATTGGTTACATGCTGATGGCGTTGGCCCTCCGCCACAACTGCGCAGGTGTGTGCCACTGTTCACTACTCCGCATCACTGCATATCAGGGCACTGCAAGAGTCCTCGCGAGAGCTGGGGGTCTTCAAATCCCTTAGCCTAGGCTTTGCTGTCGCCGTGGAGTCAGCTTGCTGGTGCCACCACGGGGGGGCATTCACAAGTATGTGAGCTGCGGTGTCTTGTTAAGTTAGTGGAATTCGTGCCTGTCGCAACCTAAAGCTTAGGCAATCGAGTTGAGGTAAAGTTATCATGGGCCATGGGGATGGTCTGGCACAGCAAGGGGGCTGCGGAACACGTTCCCACAAGGGATCAAGCGCTCAAAGCCTCCTATCATGCTGCTGATGCTCCGTCAACTGAATCCTCTGCCAACGTCACACAGGATGTGCTGAGGAGTTGACTATTCGGCGGGCCTGAGCGTGGTGGCGGTAGGGAAAGAGACTCCATCCGTGGATGCGAGCAGCTTGGCCAGTGGCTGCCGATGCGCTCCATGGAGCTTCCTGCATCTGCAAGAAGCTGCCAACTGGGGCTCTGGGTGACGACGGATAGCGGTGCGCAGGGGGTGGAAGCAGTGTGTTATCTTTCATGGCGAATGCATTAGTGGATGTGACAGCGTGTGACAAGAGAGGATCTGGAGCAGAAGCAACTCCGTGCAAAGTAGCTATGCCGGCCAGATATCGAAAGATGTATGTCTACCGCCCGACTACACCATGCTATGCTCCAAACGAATCTTCATCAGCGGCCACTCTCCTGCGACGCCCGGGCTCGGTGGACCCTCGAAGGAGACGATCTCCGAGGTGAATCCCGGAGCCTGCACACGACTCCCCGCAAATGCCAGCGCCTCATCAATAACACGTCACGTGCCCTTCGACATCGCAACATCGTATCAACAAATGTGTTGCAGCACTTCGCGTGCAACATGGTTCGCTACAGCTTTTCTACACTGGACAATCCTATGTCACACTGACCGAAACACGCTGCACTGGATTGCTTTGCATTTGAATGCTTTTCTCTTCTCTTGCGCTGAAGCTGTGATAATCTATGGAATAACTTGCTCTTGAGTTATGCTGCATTAGGTTGTGCTAAGTATGCCCCTGTACTGTTTTTGCGTGTTCTGCATGTTCCAGCGCAGTTCTTTTGGAGAGTCGCTGGGGAAGCGCACCGAGCTCGAGCTGGCAGCCGCGCCGCCTGACCGATTGGGGGCACAGGGCAAAAACTGCACAGAGCTCTGTGTCGTAGGCAGGCTATGCCAGCCCAAGGTAGCATGCAGAAGTGGATATACCGCAGTAACACAAAGTGCTTGAATTTTGGATTGCAATCGAATACGATGGAATACAATGCAGTGTAGATTCATGAGATGGTAAGCATGAATGAAAGCTAGAATCTACCGTGCTCTGCTGCACTGGACTGTACCCTCTGATACGGAACAGTACTGCGAAGTAGTATCGTGTTCTCCTCTTCTACACACTACTTCACTGCTGTACTAAGCTGTACTACAAAGTAGGCAGTATAGAAGGCAGAATCATGTACTGTAGGGGCACAGGCGAACAACACCGCAGAAATGCATTGCATCCTCCTGCTTGGCTGATCCACTTTAGATAAGAATGGTGTAACAACCCTCATACATCTGGTGTTGTCTTGTGGCATCTTCGTTTGACATAATGTCAGTTAGCTCGAGAACAGCACGCTCAATGTATTCTGTTGCGATTTCGCTGCAACTTACCAGACGTCTACTTCATCACAATATGCGGAAATACAGCGAGCAAGCCTCCTTTCTACCGTGGGTTCTTCCAAACAGACAAATAATGTACGATTTGTCCACATCTCGTAAGCACTTGCATTCATTATAAATTGCCGGACGAGACCACAAGCAACAGTTCTCCTGAACCTTTAACCGTATACCCCCAAACCCTAAACCTTCCAATCCCCACAATTTATCCTAAACCCTACAAGTAAGCCCGCAAATCCTGAACCCTAAACCCTCCGTGAGCAGTCAAAAGAAAACGTGTTCTTCACTTGCACGCCTGCTGCCGAGGGCCATTCCTCGATGTCCTCCCGCCTCCCAGATGCCGGAGCTTCGGTGCGATGCTGAGGGAAGACTGAGAATGCGAAAAGCTCAGCAATAATCTAATAGTCATCATAATGTATATGTAACATGCAACCCATGATATACAGAAGAAGAAGAAGGGATGCTTTGCGAGAGTTATTTCCACAAGCTCTTCATTCACGGGTCCTCCTCTGGTAGGCTCGCAGGGTGAAGCCGCTCCGGTACCTACGAAACAAAGAACTCAGCTTTTGCAACACATGACCGCCCTAATATAGGGGCCTTAATGATTAGAATAGGGTTTTGGGTTATATTATACTATTATCAATTATAAGGAACCCCCAAAAAAAATCTCAGATATGAAGATCCCTCGACAGAATGCCTGGCAGCTTCAGGGCACTTCAAGAAGTAGATTCCGCCTTTGGCCGTCCCGAGCACCGAGTAGGACTGGGAATCGCAAGCAGAGAACGCGCCTCAGAGCGAGACACAAACGAATTCGTGAGGAAGCTCCGACCAGATTCGGAATTGTTGCCTTGACATGGGTTTAGGGTTTAGGGTTTAGGGTCACACCCACACACTACACAGGGTCGACGAAGTCGGGACTCAGATTGCAAATGCCAGAAAATCAGAAGAAAATGGCCGAAGCTTTGCACATGGATACTTGTCTGAAATTGTCCATGAGCTTTCGCTTGCTCGTCATTTTCGGCACCGCAGAGCTCTCTCAGTCTGGAATCCAACGATCTGGCACGGGCCCTGAGGAACATGTCTGTGCCTGCGATTGGCCCACCGCCTGCCTGTGACAGCGACTGCCTCTGATTCAGGCAGACGGTCACCAAGCCCAGATCATCCATACGGAATGAACGCCATGCGAGCAATCCACCGTGGCACTCGCACGGCAAAAACTGCTGCAAGAGCAGTGACCCCGGCAAGTGCAGATCTAGTGTACACATGTCGAGTGGCGCTCAGGGATCCCATTTCATGCTGTAACGCGCACCCCGGCGCCCCACAACTCAAGAGCGGCGTTTGACCGCTCGTCTTGCTGCATGTCCTGCTAGTGGACACCTTGCCCTCAAAAGGGCAACCAAGCGACGGTCCCGAACATTGGCCCTAGCACGTGTATGGCGAAGAAGACGGCAGCATGGAGGGTCACTGAAGCCCGCACGCTGCGTTGCTGAAGATGTAGTCTCGTTTTACACGAGTGGTCGTGAAATCCTTGGGCGATGTGGGCCCGATCCATCCTTTGACCCAGGTCACTTTGTAGCCATAGCCATCCTCCTCGGACCAGTGCAGCCTCGGCTCTTTTTCGCCGTCCCTCTTCAACTTCGAGGGGCACTGCACTGGCGTTTCAGCTACGAGCGGCTCCAGCGCGGCGCCCTGGCCATCTGGCAGCGTGCCGCAGGCAAAGAGCCGATGCCACTGCCTGGGTTCCACGGTTTCCGTCTCAGCCGGGCACAACTCTTCCCTGGTCCCGCTGAGGCGTGGGCGTGTAGAGGTCGCCACCCGGGGCAGATGTTCGGAAGGTGCTTTCATCCCACGCCTCCTGCTGACCGAAGATCATCGCTGGCACGGGTTTGCGCCGAACTCAAATCTCGAGGTAACATATTCTTGTAGAAGCCGAGATTCTACGCAGATGTCGAGCCGTGAACTCCTCAGTCCCCGAACTCCGAAAGCAACCGAATTGACCAGATCTCCTTGGCCACCAGGTCATTGGCCTCAGAAAGGGCAGCCAGGGTCTCCCAGCGTTGCATCTTCTTCGGTGCACCTGGGCTTATGTTGGACAAGGCCTATGTAAGCTGCATCCGTTTAAAGCGTTGCTACGTGAAGTTGCACCGCATTGCTGTCTGGGAAATCGGATACAGTAGCGGCAGGTTCTCAATCCAGATCAGCAGTTTTTCTCTCCGGCTGTGCGTCCAAGTTGGCTTCTGGCCCCTGGCCCAGCGAATGCATGGAAGCGGCTCGCGTCAGCCCGGGACCACTCGGCTTGGACGTCCTCGGCAGGCGGGGCTTTAGGAGCCCTTGAAACGAGATCGACAGAAATGAGAATCCTTTGCATGGACCCAGGGACTTTGCAAGATGGCACCCGGAAACCTCTAAAAGGCACGACCCCACAACCTCCGAAAATGATCGCACTCGTAGAACCGATACGCAGCTTGTGGCTCCGCTCAAGAGCAGCCAAAACGAGGAGCCTCAATAGGAACGCTGCAACGAACGAAGCCGGAGACTCTCGAAAGAGAAGCCTCAAGAAGCAACAGAAGGGTCCACAAAGTAACAATGATATACCAGACTAACTACTCATAATAAAGCAATAACGATGATAACTGCAATATGCAAATCCATCGTATCTCTAGGTAACTCGGGCGAGTGCCTCGCCGGTGAGCAGCCTTTGGCCAGCGGTCTCCCGCCCATGGTCTCGGCGATTTTTCCCCATGGCTCGCACCGTCCCAGCTCTGCCTTCTTTTCCTGAAAACCTCCGCAATCCGAGACCCTGTGGGCTCTTTATGCTCTTTATGCAGGCTTCAAGCCGATCCAAGCCCTGGCAGATCTGGGCTGCAATGTGAATTGAAATGGTCCGACCCCACTGCTGAAGCCAATACGGCAGCACCGAACATCGCCACAGCCGAAGAGTAAGAGTCTAAGAGGGAGAATGCCCGGCAGACTCATCGTAGAGCGCGGCCGACAAATGCGATGGACAGAGTGAACACTCACTGCTTCGGGTCAAGGACCAAATGCACGTAGCTGGACGCTGGGATGAGCTTCCGGCTGATTGTGTCGCCCTCGGGCGCATTGAAGAGGGCTTTGGACCTGGCAACCCCCCACGAGTCTAGCGTCTAGAAGCTGTCTTAGACCTCTGGCACATACACACTTTGTAGCACGTAGCCTCTGAAGTCGTAACAGATCGGAAACCATGACGAGGGCACTGGCTCGGGCAAATGCGGCTATGCAGTCGCACCTGAACCACGGTCGGGCTTGCCCGGCACGGCAGGATACCAATCCCACCCGATCATGCAATAGCCCAGTATGCGGGAACAGCTTCCTCAGATCAAGGGCTCCCGATGCCCCAACCAAAAAGGCTGCAACTACTGGACAAAACCGTATCGGTCCAGTCTTTTTTCTGCAGCTTTCATTGCTTCCTGCAGCTTTACGAACTCCATCGCGCAGGCCCGCTGGTGAGCGCTGACGTAGTCCTCTCGGGGTCCAGAGGTTTCTCAGCACACCACTTTCTACCAGACCTTCCCAGCAAGAAAGCTTCTTCCTTGAGGATCGTATCAGCTTCCGGGCTGCGCGGGAACTCTGCAAGCCTGGTCTTCATCTGCAGCTCCCAAAATATGCGACAGAAAGCGCGCTAAGAGGTGCTATGCCAAGCTCTGCTCACAAGACTTCTCAGCATATCCGAGGCGCGAATCGAGACCAGAGCAGGCGAGCGCGGAGCTCCACGGGGCAATGCCGTCAGCCATGACCTTGGAGGCGAGGAGCCATACGAGTATCTTTCCTGCGCACAGGCTCTATCTTCGCCCTCTTAGGCTCGCGGCAAGCTGATATACTGCGGATGCGCTGCCTGGCCATCAGACTGGTTCCCACCCACCAAGCTGAACCCTGCGGCAGGTCCAGAAATCCTCCGCCTCGAAGGTGTACCCACACTCCGCGCTCGAGCTCAAGCTTCAGCTGTTGGAACCCCCAGCCAGAGAAGCCCTGAGTCAGTGCGGAAAACATGCAAAAACCTCGCCGAAGCTTCTGCCAAGAGCGGGCCTTGATGATCTTCATCATCCCTTGGGGGCTCTCCTTCGCACGTTCCGCCGTGGCGGCGAGGTCGCCACCAACCGCAAGGCCCTGGTGGAGCCTGCGGAGCTGGATGGAGCTGGCTGGATGATGGAGGCATCGGCAGAAGTTCGCTCTGCTCCTTCACCCTGAGTCCCGCACACCTTTGCACCGGGCACATCTTCGTAACCTGGGAAAAGACGCCCTGTGGGGAGTCGGTTTTGCGGGTCTTGATTCTTCCTGGCGTTGCTCATGCACTTCTCTCGATGCTAGGTCTGTTGCGACTGTAACCATACTCCACTTGCTACTGCGACTGCCACAAGTCCTAGCAGCAGCGATCGTAAATGCCGCCAAGGGAACTGTGAAGCCACAGCATGTTCTCATCCAGGCTGTCGGCCGTAACGGGTCCACCTGTGGGGGCACTTCGAAGAACCAAGGCAAAACCAAGAGCCTGCCGTGCCTTTGTAGACCTTCTCCTCCAGTAAAGGCTGCAACGGTCCAAATGCCAGTGCATTCCAGTCCGTGCCACCAGTATCCGGCCTGGGATTGTCAGGCCCCAGGAAGACTAAACTAAACTAAATATCGTGTCTCACCCATCGTCGCGGGCGTCAGGGACACTCCGCAGTAGGCTGATTGCAAAATCGACGCAAGCGCCTCGACAGCAAAGTTGTGGGCTTCTCCACAAGGGTTTGAGAGATCGTCTCCTCCGCCTCCTGACAAACTTGAGCCGAGCTGATTTAGTAAGACGCATCTTCAGTGCCGCCCATGGCCACATCCACAACCACGAGAGCTAACCAAGTCTAAGACCTATACTCCCGTGTTGAAGAAACCGACACCAGGTAAAGCCTGACATCACCCGAGCAAAGCAGGGGGCTCTCGAAAGCCTGTTGGCTCAACATACATGGAACCTGCCTCATGGCTGATCAGCTATGTATGTGCTTCATTATGTAGACAGTGTCAGAAAGCAGATACAAGCTGCTTTTGGAGAAGAAAACAGGATAGGCCAGCAACGTGAGACAAACTGCCTTGTTCACAACGACTCCCTGGACCCAGTCTTTATCCTGAGATGTCGCAAGCTCAGAAAAGGAAGAGGCGGTTCAAATCGGAACACACATGCTTGCCAAGGGGCTTTCCGAGCATGGACGATCAGTATGAGAGACTGGTCGAACCTCACGAGAGCCCCCCGGCCCTAACTGACTGTGAGACCAGCCCGTTCTGGCTCAGTCTCCGGCACTGGCTGAAACAAGCCCGACAACGGGTGGGTGAGCAGCAGATCGCCCTCCTGCACAGAGCCGAAATATGCCGAAGCACGAGACCTTAACTACTGTCAAGATGGAGCCGACACACGAGACCTGCACTACTGCAAAGATGTAGGTATACTTAAGTAGATAAGGAACAGGATATGATGAGGACGGATTGGCTCATAAGTAGACAAGCAGGTGAACTGGTAGATGCGGATGTACGCAGGGAGGAGCGCTTGTCACCTCGCCTGCACTCCCTCGCCCGGCTGCATCTGCTCCAGGTCGGGCCTGCCACGACAACGATGCGATTCTTGACGGACATTTGTCGCATGGAGTGGTACATTTCCGCAAGGTGACGCTGTCTTGTTGCGACGTTCCGTGCGGCGACATTGAAGGCCCCAAGTGTACGCAGATCCATGCCAGTACATTTATTAACGTTCGGATGAAATGAGATTGTATTGTCATTTTCACGTGCACACGCAACGGCGGTGCTTTCTGCTAGGCGGCCACGCCTTAGGGCAACTATCCAGCAGTATCCATTGCTGCTCGCGTTCTCTTGCTCTTCTTGATACTGCGATTGTGTTGATACCATTATCGTTGCCGCTCTTGGTGATGTTTCCAGTTGCGGCGGTCGGTGTTGCTGTTGATGTTGATCTTGCTGTAAGCCTTTCCTCTTGTTAATCATTTCTCCTGCTCCTGTTCCTGCTCCCGCTCCTGCTCCTGCTCCGGCTCCACGGCCACTTCTGATATTTCTGCTGTGCAACTGCAGACGATCAGATGAGATGTGGGATTCTGGTGTGAACTTTGCTCCACGCTAACGGAGTGTGTCGACACGGCAGTTTTACGGCAATTCTATGCCACGTGTTTTCCGGGACCCCTCGCTCCACTTCCAAGACACAGGAAGTCGTCTAGCTCACTTCGCCGGCCCCACATCGGCAAGTCCAACATCCGAGAGGACGGGACAGACCTTATTTATCAGTCGGTTTGATCGCAAGTGTGGTAGGCAGGAATGCATGCACCGCTGGGTCCACGGCAACGTGCCCAATCGCACTGCAGCAGAGCGTGCCTGCTCCAGTCGATGGCGAATCTCCGATGCCTCCAGGACTTCGGATGCGTGTGCCCTCAGCCCTGCCAAGACTCGCAGAGTCTCATGCCATGTGCGCCTGTGGGAGGTACGGCAAGCCAAGCATCTGCGTGAAAGTCCAGTGCCACCGCATCGCCCTGAAGATGGACAGAGAGACAATAATCAGAATGACTCTGCCTGACCTTCGAAGACTGCAATGTCTTCAAAAATCCCGAAAACAAAATCTCCTACCTAGTCCTACGCCTTAACAACTATAACTGCCAAAATCAAGCACTAGGCCCTAGGCCCTCACCCTTAAATCTGGTTACGGTAAGTTACGGTCACTTTCCTCTCTTTAGCTTTGGGCGCTTTAAACTGGGACCCCCCGCCGCGCCGCCGCGCGGCCCTGGCGCGGAAGCGCGAACTCCGTGGAGCCGCCGGCGGCAGCGCGCAGCGCCTGTCTGTCTGTTCTGAGGTATGGCAGGGTTCAGGGTTTGGGACTTTGGGATTTCGAGTTCTGAGGTTTCGGGTTCATGGTTTAGGGCTTCAAGGTTTAGGGCTTCGAGTTCGGGGTTTGGGCTTTAAGGTTTAGTGTTTCGCGGAATCTGAGCTCATGAATCCGTCGCAATCCTGCGATCGTTGCTGCACAGATAAATCTTTGCTACACATGAGGACGAGGACATCCAGGGCGAACGAGTACCGGCAGCTTTTGATAGCTTGAAGTGTTGTTTTGGGGGGCTTGGGTGGAAAATCGGGGCGGGTCACTTGGGCTGTCGTGCCAGACTGATTTGGAGGTTCAAGGTAACCTGAACCTCTGAACTGAACCCCGGCAACACTCTGCAAAGATCTTGACGGCAGGGCTGGCGATGGACTCGCTTGCTTGGAATTGAGCTGTTCAAGCCCGGACAAACTCTCCGGGCCTCGTCCACCCAAGGATGCTCGCTTGTCGACGATGTCACGGCTTGGGCTCTCTGGCAGAGGGGCTCACAGAGGCTGCACACTTCAGCTTGTCTCATGCTCTCTCGCTCTTCGTACGCTATCAAGTGCTGAGTTCTTCCCGCTTGGCTGACATGTCCCGGAGTCCCCGGGGCCCTCGGGGGGCCTGTGGATCCCACATCCGAGGTGCACGGCCGAGCAGAGCTGCCAGGCGCCTCGACTCGTCCACTACCTTATTTTGGGGGTCCTTATAATAAGGGTCCTACTATTTAGGGTACTATATTAGGGTCCCCTAAGACTCTCAGAAACCGCCCAAGGCCCACTTTAGCCACCCCTGCGCACACGCGCGCCTCGGGTGCCTGCCAGCAGCACGGGATAGCCGCAGAAGAGTGCGGAAAGCTACTCGCTCCGTGGAGGAACCGAGTGAGAACATGGCGCCGTAGCTGGAAAACTGTGCTTTCAGGGCTGCGGGGCAGGCGGGGCAGGCGGCGCAGGCTGACAAAGGCAAGCCTGCGCCTCAATACAGCATTAACGTCTGCTTTGAGCCAAATAGCGGTGCGGTTTGCCGACTGCGACGTGAAACTCTTCAACAATAATTGAAAGCTTTTGGTTCCGGTCCGACTCGCGCAATCTCTCGCATGTAAACGCAGCGCCTCGGCTTCGGTCGCCGACAGCAGGACTCCTCACGCATGCAAACACACGGAAGAGGCCTTGTCGACTCTGCCTCGACATCTCAAATATACGAATTGCTACGCTCGATCCTAAGCCTTGCGAGCGTTGCATCGAGAAAAGGGAGATTGAACGAGACAGACATACACGGGAGAGAATGGCAGATCAACCAAGTTGAGACAACCGAATGAATACCAAGCACAGGTGGCCTCGTGATGGACCCAGGCCACACCTGCCCGAGCCCCACCAACAAACTCTCCGACACGACACCTGCAGCATGGTGACAAACCGCTCGGGGCTGCGACCACTTCGGTGCGGCGCGGTCCTGCGAACGCACGCATGGCTGATTGTCCATCCCAACTCTAAAGATTGAGGATCGCCAACTACGACACAAGAGATTCAGAAATCAAAAGCGCTGGACCTTCCCTCCCAGCTAAAGCCTCCCGCCCAGGTCCTTCAGGCTCGCACCCTCGGCTTCGCGACCTTGGCCATTTTTGTGAGAAGGAGCGTGATGGGAGGAGCGGGAGGAGGAGGAGGAGGAGGGCGGATGACGCTTGTGCATGTTGTCAGCGTGAGACCGCGCACGATTGAGTCATGTTCTTCCTGAGCATGCGACGTTTTGCTATCGCAACTTGCTCCTCCGAAAAGTCAGGGTGAAACAGCTGTCCGGAGCTGTCCACGTTCCCACCCCTGCACTGCCAACGCCGAATCCTTAAGAACGTTTGAAACAAAACGAGAGCAGGCGCATCGCTGCCACTGCTGTGCAACCAGGATGTGCATGGGGTCCTTCGTCGGTGCTGCACCAAGGGCGATGGAGCCCTGCTCGTTGCCTTCCTCAAATGGTGAGGGAGTGGTGAGGCCACGTCGTCCGCAAGACATGCTGAGGCCGAGGCAAAGAAGTTGAGCCTTCGCCCTGCCAAGCAAATGCGTCCGAGCCTCAAGGACTCCGTTCCACACAGCGGAACTGTAGGGGAACCAGCGACTGAACAGTGCAAGACGACCTTCGGTTCCTGGCGAGGGCATGACCACCACATGGCGAGGCCCGAGGGTGAAGCAATTTGTCCTTAGGCAATGAGCAGCATTCCATCATCATCTCAAAACCCATGAGGCTCTGCAGTTGCCGTTCCATTGCAATCCACATCCTCCGAAACTGGGCGAAGTTTTGGGAAGGCCCGGACTCCGTCAAGGCCTCTCAGATGTGTGCGTCATCTTCCGTCCCAGGCACGTCTGGAGCGCTGCTAGAGTCGCACCATCCCAGAGGATGAAGATACAGGCCTGGCAAACCATGCGTGTCGTTTTGGCGGTGTTTCTCCCAAGACTTCCGGATGTGACAATGCAACTGAAGCCTCATCCAAGGTTACGAAAACTCTTTGGCCAGCTGAAACCTGTGAAGAACAGATCGGGTGCAAGATTCAAGATTGCGGAATGTCATGCAGCGCTGTTCAGAATTTCAACTTCTTGGGGCTCCCACTCCTGAGAGGTTGGACTGGTGCGCGGAGAGCTTCGCCCTGACCTGATGGACGTCTGCTGGCTACTACAGCAAGCTCCTCTTTGCAGCTGTTCCATGCTGTTCTCATGTGAGTAGCGACTGCTTCATCTGCCTCACTTGCTGGGATGTATGGTCCTATCCTGCTTTTGGGGTCTTTGGCCTCGCTTTTGCTACCCATCATGTCTTTGAGTCTTGGCAACAAGTCGATGTCTTTAGATTTATGGCTTGGGAGAACCATTCACTTCTATGTTTTCCTGCAGCAACAGCAACAGCTGTTAAGCAGCAGCAGCCGCCGCTGCGCCGCCCTAGCAGCAGCAGCAGTAGCAGCAGC